ATATATCCAAAAGAGAACTCATTCCCCCCCCCCATATCCAAGCTGTTACCAAGGTCTGGTAATTTAACCTTTGAAACATTTCTCAAATATGTCCCCTTCTCTCCTCTGACACTGCCACCACTCATCACCTCATACCTTGATTATTACAATAGCCTGCTGGGGGGGGGGGGGGGTCTGCCTGCCTCAAGTCTCTTACTACTCCAATCCATTCTCCATTTGGCCACTAAAGTGATTTTCCTAAAAATAGTTCCAATCACGTCACCACCACCACCACCCCACTACCCCCACTCAATAAACTCCAGTGGCTTCCTAATGCCTTCATGAGCAAATACAAAATGCTTTTTTGGCATTCAAAGCCCTTAATAACCTAACCCCTTCCTACCTTCCCAGTCATCTTACCCCTTAGCCCCTGACACTTATTCTTTGGTTCAGTGACACTGGCCTTCCAGCTATTTCATGAACAAGATACTCCAGGTATTTTCTCTGGCTGTCCCCATGTATGGAATGCTTTCCCTCTTCTGTTCTAACTACTGACCTCCCGGGCTTCCTTTAAGTCCCAACTAAAATCCTACCTTCCAAAGGAAGCCTTCCTGAATTCCTCTTAACCTCAATGTTTTCACTCTTTTAATTATTTTCTATTTATCCTGTATATAGTTTGCTTTATATATATTTCTTTGCATGTTGTCTTCTCCATTAGTTTGAGAACTCCTTGAGGTCAGGGATTGTCTTTTGGCTCTTTTTGTATCTGCAGAGCTTTGCACAGTGCTCAGCACACAGTAGGTGCTTAATAAATGTTTATTGATTGATTGATGGATGATACTTGCCTCATAGAAGTAGTTAGATAGGATGCCTACTTTAATTTTGGAAAGTATATAGTATCAGAGTTAATTGTTCCTTTGAATATTTGATAGAATTTACTTGTAAATATCTGGGCATGGGTTTTTTCATTGAGCTTTCATTAATGACTTGTTAAATTTTTTTTTCTGAGATTGGGTTATTTAAATTCTTGGTTTCTTTTTATATTAATGTAAGTAATGTGGAAATATGTTTCACATGACTTCATATATATGATATTCCTTGTCTTCCCAATGGGTATAGGTGTGGGATAGAGGGAGTGAGAGAATTTGGAACTGACATAAAAATTTTTTCTTCAATAAAATAAAAATGCACCAGGTAAAAATAAATTAGGACAATCTGCTATAGACTTCTTCACCCTGCCCAGGACTTCGAGAATCTTGCAGAAAACCTGAAGTAGACGGACAAGGGTAAGTGGAAAGCTGGATGCAAAAGCAGCCTTGCAACAAGAGGGGTGGCTCTGGAGCTCAGCTGCAAGAGAAAGAGCCCAGGCAAAGACCAACATAGGGATCGCCCCGGTGCCCTATGGCAGGAACTCTGAGTAGGGGCAGCCTAGGAGTCTCTTTTTTCCCTTTACAAAGAAAAAGAAGATAGAGAAATAAGTAGAATGGGATCGATACTAATAATCTATATGTAGCACATGTTCTGGATCTATTCTCTCAACCCTCACTGGGACTAACAGGTTGGATCCCCAGAGAATAGCTGCTGGTCCCCTTAATGTCTTGGGGTAGCTCTGAGGAATTGGGTGGTGGTTTCTAGTACTGTAGCTCATGAACCCCCACGGGTATGTTCCCATTCCACCCCCTGATTATCAAATGATATCAATTAGGCAGGCAGATTTAATTAGCTTTTAGTTAGGATTATTTACTGAGGTGGAAACATCCATTCAAAAGTCTGTGATATATACTCCCTGCAATACACATAGAATCCAGGGGAAAGTGGGCTCAATCTTAGAGAGTACATGTGGCAAAGTGGTAACTCACAGCTTCTCATTGCTCAAAGTCCTTTTCTTCCCTTTATGGGTTTCTCATGAATTTCCACCTGTTGGGCTCTTAGTTAGCCTTTAACCTGCCTTTCCTCATTGTGTCCATTTTCTCTTTGGCTCCTGACACAGACATTGCTGTCAACCATTCTAGGAATGCTCCTAAGGCAGCAATGAAAAGTCTAAATCCTCCAATCCTCAGACCTTCTAAAGTTCACAAAAGCCTCCTCTGACTGGGGCTAAGGCTTTACTTCTCCCCTTCCCCAAATCATTCCTTCTCAGGGTCTTGGCCAGAAAGAATCCAAGATTCCAAACTGGCTGGGATTATAAAAGACCCATAGGGTTTCTGTCACTCCTTTGTTCACACTATATGCCATGGTTGATTGATTCACCAGATGTGTTCTGGCTTTCTTAACAGTGAACAATTGAGATTTGTTATAAGTTGATAAAAATGTCTTGGCTAAGTAGGGATAGAGTGAGTGAGTGATCAATTGACTCCATGTTTACATAGAAACTGAGTGGTCTGATTCCACTCCTATGTCCTTCCTCTCTTCTCCTAGCTCAGAGCAAAATACATGGTTTTGATATTCCTTTCTTTTAGTCACCCTTTTAAGATCAGCTCCTTCATATTTTATTTCACCTGAAGGATGGCCTAGGTTGGGTAGAAGCCACCACCTGGTAGTTTCCTAGTTTAAAAAAATCTTCTTCCTAAGTCCTAAGTTCAATTGTTTCTATGCTGTTGCAGGATTGAAAATACTGTAAGAAGAACAAGAACTCCTTCAAATGTTGGTGCCCCGTGTCCTTACCTTAGCTATAGACCTGGTGTTTTTTCTGTTTCTCTAAGCCAACTAGAGTGCTGTATCTGTTAGCCTTCTGGGACACTTTGCTTGCTGTCAGGGTTTGGAGCACAATAAATGATATTGTCCCTGGGCCTGTACCATCAGCTGACCATGGACACAAACAGTTAAAATGGTTTCCTAGTGCTACTCAAACAGCTCTTCATTATCTTAAGTACAGGATGCAGAACTATAAGAAAGGCCAGGTGGGTCATTATGTTTCAGTGGCAAAAGACCTATGATTATTTCCTTTCTATGTGATGTCACTAAACCTTTTATTAGATGATGAAATGGGAAATTGTCTACTTGACTCTGTCATGGCCTGTTTTATTGCTGGAACCTGAGAACAAGGAAGAAAAATTGGGGGGCTGGAACTCATTCACTCTTGAGCTGTCCCAGACTGCAGTCTGTTCTCTCCCCTTGACACTAGTCATTATATCAATTTTTGTATTTCTTCCTTCCTTTATCATGAGCTGAAATCTTTGGAAACCATTTTCCTGAGAATGAGCAGATGTAAAAGGGCTGTAAGATGCACCAGTGGCTAAGAGCACTCATCCTAAGGAAATCACATCATCACAGAAGGTCAGAGCTGGAAGGGACCTTAAGGACAGCTAGTTCAATCCCTTCATTTCACAAATGAGGAACATGTAGCCCAGCAAGCAGAAGTGGTAAGTGGCAGAGTCTGGATTTGAATGCAGATCCCCGAACTCCAATCCAAGTGCTCTTTCCATGGCATTGTTCTAAATAAAGATGTCTTCATGCTAGTGTCATGTCTCATGGGGAATGTCACAGAACAATATGACCAGCCACAACAATCTGTTTAAAGAACCATGGAGGGGAAAGTTAGGTGGCACAGTGGATAGTGCACCGGCCCTGGAGTCAAGAGGATCTGAGTTCAAATCCAGCCTCAGACACATAACATTCACTAGCCATGTGACTCTGGGCAAGTCACTTAACCCCAATTGCCTCATCATAAAAAAAAAATCAAACAAATAAAGAACCATGGAATTGCAGAGAGGGATGTCAGAGATCAAATTCCTTCATTTTGCAGATGAGAAAATTGAGGCTCCTGGTAGTCTCTACAACAGTGTACAGAGGGATCTCTAGAAATGTAGAGCATCTAAGCAAAAATTTCAGAAACGATCTCTTGACTGTTGGATAATTAATCAATTCTACAACTCTAATGTATGAGAAGCCTCTGGTAAAGAAAAAAGGGAGAATTTTCCTTTAACCATGTAAATAAATGCCATATGACTAATTCACTGTTGTTCAGTCATGTTTAACTCTCCGTGATAACATTTTGGGGGGTTTTCTTGCCAAAGATATTGGACTGGTTTGCCATTTCCTTCTCCAGTTCATTTTACAGATGAGGAACCAAGGCAAACTGAGTTAAGTGACTCGCTCAGAGTCACACAGTAAGTATCTGAGGCTGGATTTGAACTCAAAAAGATGAGTTTTCCTGATTCCAAGCCTAGTGCTCCATCTACTGTGCCACCTGACTGCCCTATAGCAAGACCTCTCATAAAATTCAGAGGATAAAAATTAGCCTATACAGAATCCAAGGCTTTTTAGAGCAGAGCTGGAAGAAACCTTGGGCATCATCTAGGCCAAATATCTCATAAAACAGCTGAGGAAACTATACCCAGAGTTCTTGAAACTCATACTCACCTAAGATCTGGGACTCGACTTCCTAAGTGTAAAAGCTCTTGCATTACACCCACATTGACATCACATAAATGGATCCTGACAAGTTTTTGATAATACTCTATTATAAACTGGATTTGGGGTGGAGTAGGTCAGCAGCTTTTGCTTTTGGGCCCTGGTGTGCAAGGGGGGTGGGGGGAATGACCGCCTTGGCTGCCCTTGGACACAGAATCTGATGAGAGAGAGAGAGAGAGAGAGAGAGAACAAAAACAAAATTAGAACAAAAAAATTATAACTTTGAGATGCAAGGGCCCTCAGAAAATTGTCCAGCCCATAAAATTTGTGGTCTGGAAAAACCCTGGGACATTGAGGTCTGTGGGGAAGGGCATTAGATGCATTGACCCGTGGGGTGCGGTACAGAGGGAAGGGGCTTGAGAATATCAAACTTTGAGGAGAGCTTTCCTAGGGGAGCCCTTATCTATCACTCAGGGTTAGATGGGCTTTCTAGACAGCCCCTGCAGGTCCCCCCTGTATCCCATGGTGCCTAGGCTGGATAGGATTTCCCCGCATAACCAGACAGATTTCTGATGGGACACGGATTTCTCGGATTTCCCAGGAGGGGCAGATGGGGGGGAGGGGGAGGGGGAGGTTGGGGGGTGGGGTGTAGTGTCCATGTGACTGGACTACATGGGGTTTCCCTGCAGGGCCCCTCCTGCCTCCAGATAGGCACGGGTTTCCCGAAGCGCCCCTGTCTCCAGGCTGTCTCCTGGGTACAAGGGCTCTCTAGGGGGGGGCTCGGAAGGAGAGAGTGCTGCTGCTCGGCCCCGCCCCCTCCCCCCACTTGCTCCCAGCCTCACAAGTCTTCGGCTGGGCCCTGGAGCCCTTCCGGCCCGGGGCCTGGGCTGCCCTGGCCCTCATCCTTGGGCCTTCGAGGTCCCGATTCCACACTCCCCCACACCGGGACTTCCTTGAATCCCTGGTCCCCCCAGCCTGGTATGTGAGGTCCACAGGCTGGCAGGTAGGCCGATGAGAAGGCGGAGGAAGGTTGGGAGTAAGAAGTCCTGGGATGGTGAGGACACGGAGGTGGGTGGGATGTGGCCAGGGCCAGGCAGTGCAGAGCGGGCCTGGGAAGACCCTGGGTCTGTGCTTGGGGGGCGGCGGCGGCGGCGGTGGGCAGCCCTCTTGGCTGTGCCGGGGCCTTGGGGGGCGGCGGGGGTGGGGGGGCCTTGGGGGACGGCGGCGGTGGGGGGGCCTTGGGGGGCGGTGGGCAGCCCTCTTGGCTGTGCCCGGGTCTTGGGGGGAGGGGTGGGGCTGGCGCTTTTGGCTGCTTTTGAGTTCTTGCTTGGACTAGGGCGGGGAGAGGGGAACAAAATTGGGTCATTTTGGCTACCCTCCAGGCTTGGACTGAGGTTGGGGGAAGTCCTGTCCTTGGGGCTCGGGCTTGGAGGGGTTTGGCAGCGACTGGGGTGGAAGGGGAGAGACCACTCCCCTTGGGGCATAAGCTTGAGGTTAGAGGAGTGGGTGGCTTTTTGCTGGGGCCCTGGGGTAGAGTTGGGGACTCCTGCCCTTGGAACCCGGGCCTGGGTTTGAGGTTTGGGGTGCCTGGGGCCCTGAGCCTGGGATTGGCCACCTTTGCTGCCCTTGGCTTTGGGTTGGGAGGGAGGGTTCTGCTCTCGGGGCCCCTGTCTTGGAGGTGCAGGTCTGCTGGCTGTCACCTCTGCCTGCCCTTCCTCTCCTGAGGCTCCTCTCAGCGTTGACCTTCTGTGGTGCTGCTGTTCTGAGGACCCAGAGAGTCAACTCTGAGAGGGAACCCAGGACAACACCAGGACACCCAGAGGACCAACCTCCCCACAGATGGGGAGCAGGAGAATGGGCACCAGCAGAACGAGCAGAAGCAGTATACTGGGCCCCTCCCCATCTCTGTACTCAGGAGTTGGGGGTGGGGGGGCATTGCTCCTGTACCCCACCCCCATCCTGTTGTGGGACAGGATATGGGGTGCCCTCACTCACTTCTGTGCTTTTTTCCCCCCCCTTCCCTGCAGGCCTGGCAGCAACTGTGGAGGTGTTTTTCGTGCTGTGTCTCTGTCATGACATTGGAAAACAAGTCAACCTGGACCCTGGATCTGTGACAACCTGTCAGATCGGTCTAGTGCCCTGGGCCTAAGAAATCCTAAGAACCTGAACCAGGGATCCTCTGCCCTCCCCTTCCCTTCCTTCCCCCCCAAAGAACATAGAACTTGGGGCTGGAAGGGTAGGGCCTGAGGCTATGACTAGACTTGTAGTTTGCCTATTTCCCAAAGAGGGGTTGGTGGGCAGCAGAGGGGTTACCAAGAGGTCGTATTTCCTCAGAGAGGCTGATGATAACCTTGGGATCCTTGGAGACCTAGGATCACTTTCCCCGTGTTCCTCCCCTGTTCTTAAGCAGTATCTGGGAGAGGCCTCTTGTCTCTTCTGCCTCCCCTTTGTTCTTCCCATGCTTTCTCCTG